CCTGAGGAGCTGTTTTGTTTGGCATTTGTAGTTCTAAAAATAAAGTTAGTTTCTTTTGACAAGTGGCTCCTGAATTGTGCCCAGCCAGACTGCGGCAAACTACAAGCTCTGAGTAAAATGAAAGAAGCAAGTACTTACCAGCTGGTTACTTAGGTGTAAATTAGAGCATAAAAATGATGACTAATCTTTTTATGAAGTGTATATTTGAGCAAACATAATATGATTGTTTTTATTCATTAAGGAAACTATGTGACACTAAGTAATAAATTTTGTATAATGGTGATCTGACAAGTATGAATGATATAGGAACAGAAGTCAAAATTATACTCAATAATTACATTTGTATATGAAGGGATATTTAGTAAATAAAAGACTTTTAAACTAAAACAAAAATCAACTTTAAGAGCATAGCTGATGGGGCTGGGGTTATGGCTCAGTGGTAGAGCACTTGCCTGGCATATGTGAGGCCCTGGGTTTGATCCTCAGCTCTGCATTTAAATAAATAAATAAAATACCATAAAAGATCTATTTACAACTTAAAATATTTTAAAAATAAAAAGAGCACAGCTGAGGAGCTGAGGAGTAACTTTGACATCTTCTTTTGCTTCTTCTTCTTTTTTTTTTTTTCCTTGTGATTCTGGGAGCAAACCCAGGACCTTACACATGCTAATCAAGCACTCTCCCACTATATTACATCTCCAGCCCAATCTTGTTTTGCTTTTTTATTTCACAATTCCAGAAAAAAATTAAAATTATGTTAGATAGATGTTTGCTATTTTTCTATAATAACAAAATAATTATTACATATATTATTAATATTTGAAGGTTAGACCACCGGTTTTGATTGATTTTATATTTTGGTCTTTCTCAGAAATTGGTGGTAACATGAAAACAGAAGTATAAAATATATTAGGATAAAATATCATATTGAATTTGCCTCTGAAAAAGGAAATACCTGGTGAGATATTGGACTCAATATTATGAAAAAACTATAGATATCTGTATTCATACCCCAGCTTCACATAAACTCAGACACACATTCTACCCAATGGATGTTGAGTTAAAAATAAAATAGTTCTTAATTATGGATATTAACTAAAACCAGAATATTTTCATAGTTTTAAAGTCATTAAGAGACATGCTTCTAAATAAGATGAGAACATAGGCACAAAGTAAATTATTAAAAGACTTGATTACACACACATTGACTGAATCACATACTCATGTACATGAATACATAAAAAGTTTCAGCAAAAACCTGTAACAAAATAATTACCACTAATGTTAAAGCCACCAAATATAAATTTGAAAGACCAATAACAACTTGAGAAAAATATTTTCTAAATCTCTGCAGTGTGAATTAATTTTTTTACACAGGTGTGAAAAAAATGTCCAATTTCTTTTCTAAAGCCAACGTATCCCAAATACCAACTGTCAATGGTAATAGCACAATTTATCTCAATTATTATTTTAGATGTCTTCCACCTTTCTTACCAAACTAGAAGAATCCAGGGACCTGGAGATGACCTAATAAAATGGAAAGTTCATTTGCTTGTATGTGGGTATTCAATAGCCATTATCACAGCTTCTCTTGTTATAAGTGATCTTAATATTGAGTATAATATTGTTTCCCCTGCTTTTCAGACATCTGAAAATTTAAAAATTTAACACAAATGCCATTAACTTTTGGTTCTACTTGAACCATCAAGACAATTTCTTTCAAGGTATGACAACTTCTTTCTGCTATAGAAATAAAGAAGTTCTCCCTTTCTTTTCTAGGCTTCCATAGCGATAAAAATGAAATGCCATTTTATATCCTAATAAAATACCAAAATGGCTCCTTGAAAAATCTCAATAATGCACAAAAGATAAATGTCCTCTATATAAAAGTTTCTTGAAACATGGGCTTTATGGAAGTTATGATTTAAAATAGGACTTTTTTTTTTTCATACCACCAGTTACCAACCTCAACATTTATGTTTCCCTTGCCCTTTGGAACAAAACTCAGCTTATAGATTGAGTTTCCCTGTCTCAATCTCAATGAAGGTTTTTACATGACCAAATGCTGGTCAATGACATATAAGTAGAAGTGCTCTTTTGCAGGACTCCCAGGATGGTTTTTTAAAAGAGGGGGAGATCTCTTTGGTCCTACCAAGCTTTCTCATGCTGACCTTGAACATGCATGTGTTGGGCTGAGACATAGCTCAGTTGGTAGAGTGCTTGCCTCGCATGCATAAGGCCCTGGGTTCAATCCCCAGCACCAAAACAACAAAACAAAACAAAAATGAACATGCATGTGTTGACTGGAATTTTGGCTGTATCTTGGACTGAGAATTTTCCTGAGAACAGAAACTACACTGTGAGGTTGGCAGAGTGAAGCCACAAGAACTTATGTTTGGGTGAAAACATGGATCCTTCATGCTAGTCCTGGAGAGCTTTAACTCCAAGTTTCTTTTACTTGAGAAAGAAGAACTTCAATCTCTCTTAAGCTACTAAGACTTTTTTTCATTTTATTTTCACATAAATTATTGAATGTAATCCTAACATATATAGGCAATAATTATCACAAAGAAAGTAAGCAATAATTATTGAAAGTAATGATGTTCTCATCAGGTTTTCCAAGGCCCATGTTACAAGTCTGGGAATGGGATGAATTCAGCTCCTTCTACTTTGGTAGTTTACCAGTGCAAATAAGATCCATTTAGCCCAGTAAGTCCCAAGCTTTCAGTTCTGGCTGTGGTGGCTGTGGTGGGAGATGGAGTTCGGGTGGGAGACTCTGGCCATTGTACTT